TTTATAATCAACTGAATGTAATTTAGCAAGTGTGTTGACCAAAGAAAACCAACTATAAATAAAAAAATAAATATTTGGAGTTTTTTGAACTATAAATAGTAATGATAATATAAAATAAACAAAAAAAAATTTTACCAATTCTTTCTTTCATTTGGAGAAAGTGATAAAAGTCTTACATCCTCAAAAATCCTACCATTTAAAAATTCCATTACCTATCAATTATTAATAATACATGTATAAGCAATTTATTAAATTAATTTATTGAATATAAAAAAATATTATGATAATTAATTACATAGAATGGTGTCCCAATTATTTCATTATCTTTGCAAAGAAGATAAACCTTAGGCACTGGTACATCGGTATACTTTCCTAAAGCATCAAGAATATGAAACTCACGTTCAACAGCATGTGCAGTAGTTGATAATAGTTTTCCTGGTGGTTTTTTTCGTAGTACATATCGTTTTTGACTAAATATTTCATATTCATTATTAATATATACTATTCATTACAAAAAAAAAAATCACTCGCTATAAACACACACATATATAATATCATATAATCTTACTTTGCATCAATTAGGAGATATGTGGGGTTGCTTTGACCAAATTTGAATTGTTGAGTTTCTATTGGTAACTTAATTTCAGGAATTCTTGAAGCTAAATAAGACGTCAAATTGGGAATATCTATTTCTTGTCTATATTGTTTAGATACAATTTAAAGAATTAACAAACAAATAACATATAACATACATGTTATTAAATTATTGTTTAAAGTCACCTGATTATAGTTGTTGCTTGGGCATTATTTAGTTTTGTCATTTTTGTCTGATGAGATGATCATTGAAAAAAATGATTTTTTAATCGGAAATAAAAAAAATTTATTTTCACTCAATGTCAAATGCAAAAGGAATGTTATGGTAATTATATATATATAGTATGGTGATATGATTATATTATAATTTTATAGTGATATTAGTGATTCATACATTAAAAATAACTGAATACAGTTATTATGGTGAACAATTTATTATTGAGAAATTAAAACTATGAAAAAACCAATTATTTTAATATTTAGCAAGTAAAATAATATTTAGAAATGTTATATATTATATATTTACTTGTATATTTTTCTTATAGATTGATTTAATAAAAAATGAAAAAAAATTCAGAAATAAGAATTTAGAACTCTTAACTAAATACCCATTTCTACAAAACTGTCCAACTATTTCAATATCTGCTTTACATAATATTAAGTTAAATATGTTAAAAGTAAGTAATCAATATTTCTTGTTTTTATATTTGGGGCATACTGCAACAAAGCCAGACAAAGTGAACATTGGTATCTCCAGTATTTCAGGGATCAAAATTTAGTCATTTGAAATGTGATTATAATTATCAGTTTTATAATATCCTATTTGTTATCCTCTTAATATCAGGTGATATATAGAATTACCTCTATATAAAATAGTTAGTATGAACTCATTTACATTAGGTCTACTATGGAACCCAAGAATTACAGCACTATTAGAAGTATTTTAAGGAAAGAGCAAGGAGAAAAAATTGCACCTTATGTTTTTAAAATGAATAATACCAAGTTCTTTGGGAATATCTAGATAAAAGAAAAAATCGCTTATGAAATTTATCAAGAAGTCAGATAACTAAATTTGCTTCTTATTCTCTGGCTTATTGAGCTGTACTTTTGTTCAAATCAAGTCTGTATTTAAGAGGATGGCTAACCAATATTTCTATTTCAAATTCAACAATTTTTGAAAAAATTTTTTTTTGTACCTAATACTAATGGATGTAAAGATAACTTTATTAAAGAAATTAGCCATTTACATAGTGTGAGATCAAAATTCCGCGTCTCACACAAATCTCTTGGATTTTTATTTATGATGACATGCCGATACAATTTTCCCATTTATTTATAATAACAATTTCCGCGAATGTATATTTATGCTTTACTCTCAAAACTATCTTTTACTATAGTGCTCAAGCTATTTAATTATTTACAGGGCAAGTTTCCTTACTTCCCTTCCGGTAACGTTTTCTCAGCAGTTCTTTGTTATCTGCCTGAGCCGGCACGTCTCTCACTAAAAGCACTAAAAGAAAAGAAAAGAAAAGAAATAAAAAATAATAAAATTAATATAAAATAAGGGAAAATAATTATGCACGGGATTAGTATAAATTCGTCGTTAGGGATAGATTTACTATCATTACGAAAATATAATGTTCAAAGTTAACAAGGACAAGGTCAAGGACAAGGTTTATTTATAATAATATTTGAGTTTACTAAAAAAACTAATAAAAACTAATAAACTAATAATTACATGAAAGAGAAATTTACAACGTATTTATACATTTTAGAGGTTCTATCATCTAGTTCTCCGATTTCTTTAAAATCCTAAATTATACTAATTAATGTATTCTTTAATCATTATTTAAACCTTCCATGTAGAATTATTTTCAAGTAATTTCTAGTCAACATGAGTCAGTAGTTCTCCTAGGCAATGCGTACTTCGACTAGAAGTTACCTTAACCTTGCAAAATAAAAAAATACACACCTTTCTAATTAAATATTCACCAAATCTTCCCGCGCCTGTTATGAACTTAGTTGACCAGGCGTTATCAAGATCCTTCCAACGGGAAGAAACCGGAGTAGTGGCAACAATTTCATCCCGATAATGACGCAAAAAGTAGTAGAAAGATTTGTTTCCGCTTTGGTTCAAATATGATTTAATAAGTTCAAACATGATAATAAAAAATAGTAAAAAAATATAAGAGAAGAATCGTGAGGAAATTTCTTTTTCACTTTAAAAACAAAGTGGTATGTGAAAAAAATTTTTACAAAGAACATATCATGCCACGAGTTAGTCAATCAGATTTAGAATTTATAGTAACAATTAGCAGGTCACACGATTACATCATGCATGAAAAGTTCCATGAGCTTCTAATTTATTCTGCGATATATGTTATATGTTGATTAAACATCTGTGTTACTCAATCGATTTTATTACTAGACATATTAATATCGAGACATTATTTTTTTCTTGACAAAAGTGATCACATAACTCGAGAATTTATTACTTTTTCAGACGAAATCTAACTGTCATTCCGTGGTGCAGATATATTAAGGTTTGAGGCCATATTTGCTAACTCAGTTGGAGTATGTCGCATTATCTAAATTTCCACCCGCATTATTTGTGTTATTATCTAAATTCCCACCTGCATCATTTACATTACTGAAAAGTTCCATGAGCTTCTAATTTATTCTGCGATATATGTTATATGTTGATTAAACATCTGTGTTACTCAATCGATTTTATTACTAGACATATTAATATCGAGACATTATTTTTTTCTTGACAAAAGTGATCACATAACTCGAGAATTTATTACTTTTTCAGACGAAATCTAACTGTCATTCCGTGGTGCAGATATATTAAGGTTTGAGGCCATATTTGCTAACTCAGTTGGAGTATGTCGCATTATCTAAATTTCCACCCGCATTATTTGTGTTATTATCTAAATTCCCACCTGCATCATTTACATTACTCGCATTATCTTGATTAATAGTTTCGTCTCTTCTGCCAGGAGTTCTTCGGGTTGGAGATGCGGATCGATCCCTATGACTAGCAGAAACTTCACAACGATCTAGCATTGACGACACTTCTTCATATGATGGTGGTGGTGTACGGCTACGTTGACTTTCTTCCCGTCTTCTGGATGATCGGTTTACATTATGAATTTGGTCGAATTGCGTTTATATTTTTCGTAAAAGATTAGCTTTGTTAACTCCATTAATAGATTTCAACATACGAAATAGACTTACCCGGTCTCTCCCAAAAGCGAGAACGAAATTCATCAAAATATTTCTCAGCAACTCTGGTTCTTCGTCCATTTTTATTTCCAGCCATATAGCGACACAATGACTAGTGTAATTGGAATTTGTTAGAAATGCAATCATATAATGAGATATCTCGGTACGTGCGTATACACATTTGTAATTGCGAAAAAATAATACTTACATTATGGTTATTAACAAGATTTCGAAACTTGTCCTTACATTGATGACCAGTATAATTAGTGTGGAATTGTTCGTTAATTTTATTTGCGACATCATTCCAAAAATCAACTCTGCTACTGCCAACAATATTATGGTATTCAGTATTATTAGATTTACGTTCGTTAATTAATAATCGTAATTGGTCATTGGTCCACATCGTGAAAATGGAAATAATAGATATGTAAAAGGTATGGAGATAGACACAAAAAATAACTTATATTTATACTACTTTTTTCTAAAAATCGAATTAACGGTTGTTAAAGATGATTTACTATATTTTAGCGGAGCTAACATGGCTAATATTACGATTTACTATATTTTAATATTATGATTTACTATATTTTAATATTATGATTTACTATATTTTAATATTATGATTTATTATATTTTAGCGGAGCCTTTAGTGTAACTAAAGATATTATGATTTACTATATTTTTAGCATGATTCTAGCTCGACTCTAGCACAAGTATGATATTTTACATATAATTATATAGAAAAAATCTAGCGTGACTCTAGCTTGATTCTAGCATGATTCAACCACATTTAAACTCCGGTTTTGGATAATTTTCATAATTTCCATTATTTCCATAATTTTCATAATTTTTATAAAGATTTTTCTATTTCTCTATATGTTGAATATAATTATACCAGCTACAACATGTCGGCAAAATTTAATCAAGCATATTCAGAATTAATCCGGAAACTACCACCCTCACTAGTGCACGAGACTTGGAAACGTCTTATTTTCAGAAAGCGGGATCCAATACCAGAAGAAGATGCTAGTGCTGTAAATCCATTAATAGAAGCATTTTTAAGACATGAAGTTAATAGGTACCAGAAAAAAATAAAATTTCAGCATCGAAGTTGGCCTTCATTTGAAAATTTATCGTATATATATAATAACGAAGTTAGCAAGGCTATAAAAATGGGTAATAAAGAAACTCAAACTCAAAATACTGAACCGATTTGTATATGTAATCATGAGGAGGAAATTAATTATCGCGTTAAGAAAGAAGTTGAAGTCTTATTCCAGCACTTACTGAAATTTAATGAAAGAACATTTGGGCAATTTATGCAGGAATTAGATAGAGATTATAAAGAAAGAGACGATATAAGTAAGAAATTACGTTGTGAAATCGAAGAAAAAAGTTAGAATTACGACATGCAGAAAAAGCACTTGCATGTATGAAACAATAGCAGAGCCTTTAGTAGCAAAGCTAGCACGGCTATAACTAAAGATTTATTCATCCTATTCATTAGAAATTTCAAGAGGTTGATCCCAACCAGCACGTATAAAAAATGGATCATTTTTTTCTCTTGTTAAATCTATAACTATAAATTTACGACCATGTAAATATTTATCAATCACTTTGACTACATTACGCCAATTATCAATATATCGACGAAGAATTCTGGTAAGATCATCTGTATTACAACTACCATTAAAGAGAACTATATAATCTAAATTTTTTCTTATTATTGAAGGACAATCAAAAAAACTTTGAGAAATATAAATCGAGCTAATATTAGAATGTCGTCCTTCAGTAAAATAAGGAATAATTTTTTCTTGTATCTTTTTAGATTCGCTACATACATCTTCAAATACAGCAACTGTACTTCTTTCAGGAGAATATGAATCTATACTTGGAATTTTATCCGGTTTCATAGTCCGGAACGTAATATTTTCATGATATGGTTTTGAACTATTAGCGATCATTTTATAACAGTCTCGTAGATATAAATATTTTGGTG